AGAGCGCACCCAGCAAAGAAGTCAAACTGCTCTAAAACGATCTGACTACTAACCCGGGGCACTCCTGAGACCATAACAACTTCAGAACCTTATGGTGTTTGGAGTGTTCCTTTAAGGGAAAGTTGTCTCACTACATAGAGTATCCCTTGAAGACAAAGTCGGAGATGCCCAGTGGTGATGCTGACGTAGATAGTGTCCATTCAGTCTGTTATATGCTGTTAATATCTTTAGCTGATGAGTGAATAGTATAGTTTTATTGCAATGGAATCGGATAATATAAAGCACAGGTCAGAACATTTCCTATTTCATGGCTTATTTCTGGGTATTCTTGTCCTTGTTTTGCAGCGATAATAGGAGATATAAAGTGTGAGCAGGCTTCACCCCTCTCTGGAGCTGCCAGGACCTGTTACACAATGTGGTGCAGAAGGTTCTTTCTCTTATTAACATGAACCCACCAGTCCTTGTCATCTTCTGCTTGGGAGTGGTGGAATTACGTCTCTAACTGCCCTCACATAATGCAGTTTTTCACTTTATTATCTGTTACACTCCTTGATGTGTTCGGACTTTGACTGACCCTCACTTGTTGACCGAGTTTACATCACCTGATTAGAAGATCACTAAGACAGAGTAGCAAAATGAATGGGCAAAAAAACCCGTCCTGGAAAAAATGTTAAGCTGAGGCTTTTCATATTTATTTTCCTTATTTTAACATTTTAACCTAAAATGAATAATCTTCTTCTCTATTTTCTGCATTTTCTGGTTCGGTGAAGGAAGTCCTTCGTCTTTAGACACAATCGTTCATCTAATTCTTTTTCATTTTCATGTAAATTTCTATTTTATTTGATAGTAAATATAATGCACTGCAGTACGTTAAATTCTGCATTAAATGATAGATTAAAAACATTCCAAATCGATTTTCTAATATCAGTATATTATACAGTAACACCAGCTGATCAACAATCTGAACAGAGAGGATTAACGGCAAGAGAAAAGCAACAGGTTTACGCTAATACCACGAAACCACAACAATACAATCCATCATTAATTTCTCCCCTTGGGAATCTTGAAACGTTTCCACAAGCGTAACGTATAGCTCTCTGTGGGGTTCACCACCTCTCCTGAGGCATTCTATATTTCGGGCTCTGATTTGTTTAGTTTTTTTAGCTGCCCGTAAAGAGGAAATAAATGATGGATTTACCAATGTTCCCATTTTATGTGTGAAACTGTTTGTGTATTGATTATTGGCCATCCCAGCAGGACGTAGAACTGGAATAGTCCGTTACTGGATTATTAGCTAAATGGTGATCTTATTATTACAAAAACCGCCATGGGGAGGAAACCTTTGCTTTGTGCAAATTGTTGAATGACAAAAAGCAATATTATAAGATGGGACCAAAATTGCTCTTCTCTACAAAAAATACTGAGAGGGTTTCCAACAGAACAGGCCTGCAGAGAGCGTCATCGTCCTCACCCTGATACAATCTCGTATTGCACCTGGCGGGTTATGCCTGACATATTATCTACTGTAATAACTCAGCAATGCAGTTAATTAATTTGAGTTTTAAACAATTATTTTGGGGGGTTACAATGGTGCGGGTGCAGAAGGGTTAACGATAAACCAAGGACAACTCTGCTCCCAACTCTTACCCCCCGAAATACTGTCCGGATAACCTGAGATCCCATACAATAGCTATAAACCCAGCGCTGTCTGAGCCTGTCCTGATAACGTGCAGTTATTACATTAGATATAAACCCAGCGCTGTCTGAGCCTGTCCTGATAACGTGCTGTCATTACATTAGATATAAACCCAGCGCTGTCTGAGCCTGTCCTGATAGCGTGCAGTAATTACATTAGATATAAACCCAGCGCTGTCTGAGCCTGTCCTGATAACGTGCTGTCATTATATTAGATATAAACCCAGCGCTGTCTGAGTCTGTCCTGATCACGTGCGGTCATTATATTAGATATAAACCCAGCGCTGTCTGAGCCTGTCCTGATAACGTGCTGACATTAAATTAGATATAAACCCAGAGCTGTCTGAGCCTGTCCTGATAACGTGCTGTCATTACATTAGATATAAACCCAGCGCTGTCTGAGCCTGTCCTGATAACGTGCTGTCATTACATTAGATATAAACCCAGCGCTGTCTGAGCCTGTCCTGATAACGTGCAGTCATTACATTAGATATAAACCCAGCACTGTCTGAGCCTGTCCTGATAACGTGCAGTCATTACATTAGATATAAACCCAGCGCTGTCTGAGCCTGTCCTGATAACGTGCTGTCATTACATGTATAGCGTGCTGTCATTACATTAGATATAAACCCAGCGCTGTCTGAGCCTGTCCTGATAACGTGCTGTCATTACATTAGATATAAACCCAGCGCTGTCTGAGCCTGTCCTGATAACGTGCTGTCATTACATTAGATATAAACCCAGCGCTGTCTGAGCCTGTCCTGATAACGTGCTGTCATTACATTAGATATAAACCCAGCACTGTCTCAGCCTGTCCTGATAACGTGCTGTCATTACATTAGATATAAACCCAGCGCTGTCTGAGCCTGTCCTGATAATGTGTGGTTATTATCGATATTATGACTTTATTAATCCTACCTGTATTGTGCCAGCAGTAAGTTTTGCTCCCAGTATGGTAAAACCTGTGCAGGTCGGGTTCCGCAGCCCTTGTGGAAGTTATGTAGACGTGATGGGTTTTAATGTCCCACCAGGATTCCACTACTCATGCGTAGACAATATCTCCTGTGGTTATGGTGGACGTGGAAATGAATCTCTGTCAGATTTGGGGTGTCTGTCCAAGAATGAGCAAAGTTAGTAAAATCCTCTCTCATTCCCTGGTCTCCGTCTCCCTTCACAAACACCTGCTGTATCCCTAGCAGCCCTTTCACCGTAAACTCTGTACCACACCTTAAATAAGAGCTCAGCAGGTTCAGATGGAGTGTGGGAGATTGGTATCAATATCCTGTGTGGCATTGGGAGGGGAAATTGTAGTCACTGATATTATTATTATTTATAAATATTTATTTCAGAATTATTCAATAGCAAATCGACCAACATCAAATAATCTAACATAATAATCCAAACTGCCTATAGAAATAATATATAAATCAACATAAAAACACAAAACAAATTGCACAATATATACAAACATCCAGTTCCATCATTCAGCTATAAGCATTAAATTGGAGTCATTTAGAGAGTTCACTTGGCTAATGATTGGCTATTACTCCATACAAGCGAGGACGATGAATCCGTCTTGGCAGTTCTACTTATGACAAATATCTATTTGTATCAAAACTCGCAGAGCCCAGGTTAATTTCCAGCCATCTTGATCAGATTTCTTCATACATTTTAACCCTTAAATCATCACCATTTATCTGAAGAAAGCTGGAGTTGAATTTGATATTGAATTTCTGGTCACGAACAAATTTCTGTTTGTTTCCAATATCTGGCCATAATTATCTTAAAAACTATATTTTGTGCATTTATTCATATTAAAAAATGTAAATGAATAAAAAGGTTTGAGGGATTATCACGCAGTTTTGGTTTAGACTGGTCATAAATATTACTGCTAATTTGTTCTGATTTGGACAAGGTTAGGGCATTCCTACCAAATATGGAATTGGCTACTGTTGAAGACATCTCTACATAGGCTTTATACCCTCTGATTTAGCTATACGAGTGGGTGTCAGATACCATCTATGAGTTAACTTTTAATATTGGAGCTTCAATGTGTAACAATGTGTGGCTTCCCTCGTCAGATACCAAACTTTATACTGCATTTGGACGGAAAATTAACATTTGATATCGCATTCCAATATGTTTATTTACTTTTCTTCTGAGATTATTACATTAAATGTAAAGACGTTTTTGAGAATATGATTTGATACATTTATTCCAGATATCGATATCATTATATAAAATGGAAGCTAAAACGGTTTGATTCTTAGATAATTGAATAGTTCACCCAGGGGTAGGTTACATTTATTACACAGGTCAGTAAACTGGATTTATTGTTCGCTATTATATAAATCTGAGATTCTTTTTATACCACACAATTTCCAAGTATCTAATGGAATATTGTCTATACATATAGGCAGTACTTCCACTGGAGTTGACACATTGATAAATATAGATTCTATTTGAAAATTTCCTTATTTTATGCACGGTCAGAACTGTATTATTAATCACTTTACCTGAATGATTGTGTCTCTTACAATATTTCACCAGGACCCAGAAACTCAATAATCATGAATCACGTCCTTTACATAGTTACATAGTTACATAGTTACATAGTTACATAGCTGAAAAGAGACTTGCGTCCATCAAGTTCAGCCTTCCTCATATGTGTTTTTGCTGTTGATCCAAAAGAAGGCAAAAAAAACTAGTCTGAAGCACCTGCAATTTTGCAACAAACTAGGAAAAAATTTCCTTCTTGACCCCAAAATAGCAGCCAGATGTCTCCTTGTATCAAGAAGCTATTACCCCACTAATTAGAAATGATATCCCTGTATATTATGTTTTTGCAAGTATTTATTCAATTGCTGTTTAAACATCTGTAATGACTGACAAAGCAGGCAGAAAATTCCATATCCTTATTGTTCTTACTGTAAAAAAACCTTTTCTTTGCCTTAGATGAAATCTCCTTTCTTCCAGCCTAAATGTGTGACCTCGTGTCCTATGTATAGCCCTGTTTATGAACAGATTTCCTGATAATGGTTTCTACTGGCCCCAAATATATTGGTATAAAGTTATCATATTCCCTTTCAGGCGCCGTTTTTCCAGACTAAAGAGATTTACATTTTTTAACCTTTCTTCGTAACTAAAATGCTCCATTACTTTTATCAGTTTTGTAGCTCGTCTCTGCACTTTTTCTAGTGCCATGATATCCTTCTTTAGAACTGGTATCCAAAATTGCACAGCATATTCAAGGTGTGGTCTTACCAGCGATTTATAAAGAGGCAAAATTATATTTTCATCCTGAGAATTTATGCCCCTATTTATACATGACAAAACCTTACTGGCCTTAGCAACTGCAGATTGACATTGCATATTGCTGCCTAATTTGTTATCTATAACAATTCCCAAATCCTTCTTGTGTGTGGTTATCCCTAATTCACTACCATTTAGGGTGTAAGTTGCTTGTGCATTCTTGACCCCAAAGTGCATAACTTTGCATTTCTCTATGTTAAATTTCATCTGCCATTTTAGTGCCCAATCCCCCAATCTATCCAAATCCCTCTGCAGCAAAGCAATATCCTGCTCACATTTTATTACTTTACAGAGTTTTGTGTCATCTGCAAACACCGAAACATGGCTTCCAATGCCCATTTCAAGATCATTTATAAATATGTTAAATAGAAGCGGTTCCAAAACAGAGTAGCCCAGTTTTTCTTTAGAACTGTTCCTGCAATTCTGGGTCTTCTAGCTGTCCATACATCACTAGAAAATATTAAAGCCAGTTGTTTTAAAATGCTTTGAGGAGTTCACATGGGAATGGTTCTAAATAAATATAGAATCTTAGGAACATATAGGCTTTTAAGATGTTAGTACGTCCCATCCAATATATTTCTAGATTTCTCCATTGTGTCAATACATTTCTTAAATCAGAGATAAACATTTTGAAGTTAAGCGGAATTATGTTTTTGTTTTTTTTTGTTTTATAAATCTTTATTTTTGCTCTGCAAATAGTTTACAAGAGGCCTGTAATGCCACAATAGCTAAAGCAGGCAATGCAAAGCACACTTCATCATGACATGGATTAAAACTGCACACATTTTTGTAACATAAACATAGACATGCAGAAGATGTCAGTAGATAAGTAGAAGTAGTAATGTGGGCGGGAGCGATGACGTGACCACCCACGCAGGCCATGCAACGTTGATGATGGAGGACGCCTGGTACATGTAGGATGCAACCCGAGTGGGAACTGGAGGGGAACAAGGGGCTTTCTCCTGGTACTGGCGGCGGCACATATATGTCGGCGGCATGGGCGTCCGCAGGAGATCTCCCCTGCCGGTCTCAATCCATTGGCGTGCCGCGGGGATTAGGGTGTGCCCGGGCACACCTGACACACCCCGTGTGCACGCCTATGGAAGTGAGGGATGGGGGAGACAGCCTACATGAAGAGTCAGCAAGGAGCAGGAAGGTAAAGTAAGAAAAGGAGAAGGAACAGAAATGAGCAGGAAGGGACATCAAGGAGCAGAAAGGGGCAGCAAGGAGCTGGAAGGGACAGCAAGGAGCACAAAAGGTAAAGTAGGAGAAGGAGCACAAAGGAACAGAAATGAACAGGAAGGGTCAGCAAGGAGCTGGAAGGTAAAGCAGCACAAAGGTAAAGTAGAAGGAGCAGAAAGGGTCAGAAATGAGCTGGAAGGGGCAGAAGGAGCACAAACGTAAAGTAAGAGAATGAGCAGGAAGGGCCTGCAAGGAGCAGGAAGGGGCAGAAAGGGACAGCAAGGAGCACAAAAGTAAAGGAGCAGAAACAATCAGAAGGAGCACAAAGGTAAAGTAGGAGAAAGAGCAGAAAGGGAAAGCAAGGAGCACAAAGGTAAAGTAGAAAAGGGAGCAGAAAGGGATCAGAATGAGAAAGGAGCAGAAGGGCACAAAATAAGCAGAGAGTAGCAGAAAGGTAAAAGAGCAGAAGGGGCCAAGGATAGAAAACAGTGTCAGAAGAAAAAGAAGACTGTCAAATGAAGGAGAGGAAAAGGAGACTGGAGCAGGAAGGACAAATGAAGTGAACCTTCCACTATATTCTGGACACCACATCATAAGGCGTACCTGGGCCAGGCAGGGAAACGCTGGACCTTCTGATCTCCAAAGGTAAAAAAATATCAGTATTAATGTGCTCACTTTTATTTACTGAGTGTCAGGAAGCACAGAGTGTTGTTGGGTAGGGGTGTTGCTGATTGGCTAGAGCGGTCAACTGGCACTCTAAGCCAATCAGTAGCTCCCCATTCATAAAAAAGTAAAAATAGTTTATGAACCGGGAATTAGCGATTGGCTTAGAGCGTCAACTGACCACTCTAGCCAATCAGCGGCACCCATGCCTGACGTCAATCTGCACTTCCTGACACTCTGTTTCAGAAGTCAAATACCACTGAGCGACATGGAGCTGGAGGAAGCCTTTGGGGTTAAACCATTTGAGAGTGATTTAACCCCTTAAAGGAAAGCAAGCACCCAGGGGCTTCCTGGCATCATAGCATTTTCATTTAGATGAAGTTGTTATGGTGACCAGAATGGTCCTTTAATTTGCTTAAAGGAACACTATAGTGTCAGGAATACAAACATATATTCCTGACACCATAGTTGTGAAAACGCTATTCACCCTGGCTTTATGTGATAATGGCTATGCCCCTTCCCTTTCATGACACTGTCAAAAAGGTGGATGTCATTACAATTATGCCCCCCGTGGAAAAATTCCTGCGGACGCCCATGGTCGGCGGTCACCTTCTGATTCCTCCAGGTTGTGGACACGAAGAGCCTTTCTGGTCTCTGGAGGATAGAGGGGAAGGATGGCAGCAGATTAGCTCGACCAGGAGCACATAAGACGCCAACAAGAAGTTCACAACAGCCTATGAGGGCTGAATCTGGCCCAAGGTTCCCAGGAAGATCTTCTAACCAAAGCTGGCAGTCTATCCAGACTTGCTGGGGCAGTGAGTAGGCAAAAGACGCGCACAAAAAAAAGTCTGTCTCAAATGATTGCCCAATAGGACGGTTTATTTCTCCATATATAGATTTTTTAAATTTATTTTTTTGCTGAACACAAACTCTATCTCAGGCTATATTTAATTGCCAACTTTATCAACAATGCATTGGGATGGCTGAGAGTGTCATTAGCTGGATTGTTATTTGTATTGGGATTGCAGCACAATATGATAAAAAAAGGTGGCTTTTCGAGAGAATATAGCCTTCTGGAATTGTATTGCTTCCTATCTAATTAAGCTGGCTGGCTATTGGAAGGCTACGAGAGTTCTCGCCTGGGATCACATTTCATCAGAACTAAAAAAGAAGAGAGAAGGGAAGGGTCAGGCTGAATTTGACACACAATCGCCCCCGCTGATTATCTCCAATTAATGACACATTTGAATCATAATATTTAATGAGTAGATCAGAGATCAGAAACAGATCGCTCTCGTTAATGCGAGTTAGAGCCTGAATTACCACAAACTCTAATCAGCCAGATATACACATAATTACAACTGAGCTTGCCTCTATGGTTTTATTTTTCTATTTTTAATAATTTAAAGGAGAAATAAAAGAAGAAAACGAATAAGCAATAGCTACAAAAAAAAAAGATCTCAAACATGGAGATAGAAAAGAAAGAGAAAAGAACACTGATTGAAAGGAGATAAACGTTTCTCTAATTTATTTTCCCCAGTGCAAGATAACACGACTAGAAGAACAAGTCAGTATGAGATCTTAAGCCATGGTAATGAAGAGTCCAACCCACTGTTAGCTATGGAGAAGGAAGTGCTAGATGTCTCTACAAAAGATCTTCAACATTTTGATCAGGAGCATTTAAATGCGTGTTTCGATATACAACTCGGCAAACGAAAAAATGAGATCCATATTATAACAGATTAATTCAAAGAGGAATTGCTGAAACGCACAACTCAAATTCGATGTTTGGCATAAAATCTGGAAAGTTCAGTATTGCAGCATAACGGATAACAAGACAAGATTTCTCAACTTGAACACAACTTGAAACTAAACTTCAAGCCGACTATGAAGATAGATCTCGCCGCAATAATATACGTATAAGAGGCGTTCCTGAAAACATCTTGATGGAGAATCTGGAGAGATATATGGAGGAATTTGTTTTATTCCTAGGTCTACAATTGGATAATAAGTGAACTACCATTGAAAGAATTCATAGGATACGGAAACCTGAGTCCCTCCCGACACATGCCTCCAGAGATGTTATAGCATGTCATCTATTATCTCTGCTACGGGACAGAAATCTTTGAAAGGCCCCAATTCCGAATTGATGAAGATATTTAATGATCTATCACCAGCTACCAGAATCAAACGAAGATCATTCCATCCTCAAACTGCAACTCTAAGAAAGAACGAGATAAAATACTCATGGTCCTTTCCAATGGGCCTTAGACTCCGTCATAATGACAAATCGGAATTCTTAAGGGATTCACTTTCTTTTCAAATATGGTTATTAGTAAATAATAAAGAATGAGCTCATCTAGATGCGGAATTTAAGCTTCTGTTTATTTTTCTTGTGTTATTTTTTTTTTTGTTTTACTTGGAAAGTGGTGCACGGAGACACTTTATGATATTTGTATATGGGTCTGGCTCATTCTAGCTCTTATGAAGGGGATCTAGATACACACTGATTCTAAATCACTAACTGTACACCTAACATATTAGGGTACCTCTTGGGATTATTGGCTCTAAAATATCATTATTATTATTATTTTATTTTTTTTGCACTTTGGCCTGATAGATAGGCGCATATTTATTGGCTGTGATACTGCACAAGAATTTTACGAAAATCACACCTTATATTAGTGGCTTTACATACAAGGTGAGCCTCTTAAAAGGGTTTTTTTCTGTGTTGGTCGTCTTTTTTTGTTTGTTTTTTTAAAGATTAAAGCTTTCTAGTACTTTATGGTAAGAAGCTGCAGAGAGCTATGCTGTTTTAGAACTTTTCGTATTACTCCTTAGGTCTTTAAATATGGGGGGGGTGCTCCAAATGATGGGGAGCATTTATATACACAGGCTGTGTATATTTATCTTCTTATTTTTCATGTCTTTTTTGCTGGCTCCAAGTTATTTATAAAAAAAAATTTTTTTCAGTGGAACGTGGTTAAGTATTACCTTATTATTTTTTCTTAGACTGGTAAATGCCTATTTGTAGGATTTTTTACCAGCTGACGTGGAAATTTTCTCTCTACCTCGGGTCTAAATGGACGGGTTTGGGTTTTTTGTTTTTTTACTAAATGTTTGCATGTTTTTTTGTGTGTTTTTTGTTTTGTTTTATTTTTTTCCATGTACAGCTCGCAGTGGAGACCCCAACGGGTAAGGGGCACCTTGAACGACTATTATAATTAAATTTGCTTCTTTAAATGTCAGGGGACTGAACTCCCCACAAAAGAGGTCTTATCATTTTAGATTTTTTGAAAAATGATATGACACATATTTGCGGAATACAAGGTTGTCCACGGATAAGGAGTGGATCCGTTGTAGGGATTCTTCCCATGTTTTCAAATCCTCTTTGCTTAATGAAAAAAGAGAGGAGTAGCCAGTGTAATTTCCAGCAAACTTGCATTTAATTTACTGTACCAAGAAGCGGATTTGGAAGGAAGGTCTCATATTCTTATATGCGAAATTAATA